TCACTAAGAGAATAGATTTATCGACCAAAGAAAATCTTAAGTCCAGCAAATCCCTAACACAAAATATCCAGGAAATATGGGACACTGTGAAAAGGCCAAATCTAAGAATAATAGGGACAGAAGAAGGCGAGGAAACCCAACTCAAAGTGACAGAAAACATATTCAACAAAATCATAGAAGAAAACTTTCCCAACCTAAAGAAAGACATGCCAATGAAAGTACAAGAAGTCTACAGAACACCAAATAGAGAGGACCACAAAAATTCCCCTCACCACATAATAGTCAAAACCCCAAACATACAGAATAAAGAAAGAATATTAAGAGAAGCAAAGCAAAAAGGCCAAGTAACATATAAAGCCAAACCTATCAGAATCACACCTGACTTCTCCATGGAAACTCTGAAAGCCAGAAGGACCTGGGCAGATATTCTACCAACACTAAGAGACCACAGAAGTCAGCCCAGACTACTATACCCAGCAAAGGTTTCAATCACTACAGATGAAGGAAACAAGATATTCCACGACAAAACAAGATTGAAACAATACATATCCACTAATCCAGCCTTACAGAAAGTACTGGAAGGAAAACTTCAACCTAAGGAAGGTAACTACGCTCACAAAAACATAGGCAATAGATAATCCAACTTTACCAAAAGTCAAAAGAAAAAGCAGGGTAAATCCACAAACAATAACACCACCACCAACAAATAAAAAAACAAACAAGAATTAATACTCAATGGTCCTTATTCTCCATCAATATTAATGATGTTAATTTGCCTATAAAAAGACACAGGTTAACAGGACAGAATCCATCCTTCTGCTGTATACAAAAAACACACCTCAACTTCAAAGACTGACTTTACCTCAGAGTAAAGGGTTGGGGATAAGATTTTTCAATCAAATGAACCCAAGAAACAAGCTGGTGTAGCTATCCAAGTATTGGACAAATTAGACTTCAAACTAAAATCAATCAAAAGAGATGAAGAAGGTCATTTCATATTCATCACAGGAAAAAATCCATCAGGAAGAAGTCTCAATTCTGAACATCTATACCCCAAATACAAAGGCACACACATTTGTGAAAGAAATATTACTAAAACTCCAATCATACATGAAACCTCACACAGTTATAGTGGGAGACTTCAACACCACACTCTCACCACTAGACAGGACCACCAGACAGAAACTTAACAAAGAAACAAAGGAAATAACAGAAGTCATGACCCAATTGGGTTTAATAGACATCTATAGAACATTCCATCCAAACACAGAATAATATACCTTCTTTTCAGTGCCACATGGGACCTTCTCTAAAATTGACCACATACTTTGGCAACATAGCAAAGATCAACAGGTAAAAAAATTGGAATAACATACTGTATCTTATCAGACCCCCAGGCTTCAAAGTTAGAATTCAACAACAACACAAACTACAGAAACCCTACAGACTCATGGAAATTGAACAATGCACAATTACACCATTCCTGGTTCAAGAAAGAAATTAAAGACTTCCTAGAATTCAATGAAAATGAGGATACAACATACCCAAACTTATGGAACACTTTTAAAGCAGTACTAAGAGGAAAGTTCATAGCACTAAGTGCTCACATGAAGAAACTGGAGAATAGTCACACTAAAGAATTAACAATGCAACTGAAAGCTCTAGAACAAAAAGAAGCAAACTCACCCCAGAGGAGTAGACTCCAGGAAATAATCAAATCAAGGGCTGAAACCAATCTAGTCAAAACAAAGAAAACAATACAAAGAATCAATGTAACAAGTTGGTTCTTCGAGAAAATGAACAAGATAGACAAACCTTTATCCAAACTGACCAAAAGACAAAGAGAGGACATGCAAATTAACAAAATCAGGAATGAAAAGGGGAGGTAACAATGGACACTGAGGAAATCCTATACTCCACAAAATTAGAAAATTTAAAGAGAATGGACAATTTTCTGGATAGATATCACTTACCAAAATTAAATTAAGAACAGATAAGCAATCTAAACAGACCTATGACCCCCAATGAAATAGGAGTCATCAAAAGTCTCCCAAACAAAAAAAGCACAGGCCCAGATGGCTTCAGTGTAGTATTCTACCAGAAATTCAAAGAAGAACTAATTCCAATACTCCTCAAAGTGTTCCACACAACTGAAACAGAAGGTTCATTGCCAAATTCGTTTTACAAGGCTACAATTACCTTGGTACCCAAGCCACACAAAAACACAACTAAGAGAACTACAGACCAATATCCCTCATGAACATTGATGCAAAAATGCTCAATAAAATACTAGCAAATTGAATCCAAGAACACATCAGAAAAATCATCCACCATGACCAAGTAGGCTTCATCCCAGGGATGCAGGGATGGTTCAACATACAAAAATCTTTCTCATTTTTTTTGTTTTTTTCGAGACAGGGTTTCTCTGTGGCTTTGGAGGCTGTCCTGGAACTCGCTTGGTAGTCTAGGCTGGTCTCGAACTCACAGAGATCCGCCTGCCTCTGCCTCCCGAGTGCTGGGATTAAAGGCATGCGCCACCAACGCCCAGCCAACATACAAAAATCTATCGATGTAATCCACCACATAAACAAATTGCAAAAAGAAAAAAAACACATGATCATCTCACTTGATGCTGAAAAAGCCTTTGACAAAATCCAACAGCCCTTCATGATAAAGGTCCTAGAGAGATCAGGGATAACAGGAATATACCTTAACATAATAAAAGCTAAATACAGTAAACTGGCAGCCAACATCAAACTAAAGGGAGAGAAACTCAATGCATTTCCTTTAAAATCAGGAACAAGACAAGGCTGTCCACTCTTTCCATATTTCTCCAATATTGTCCTTGAAGTTTTAACTAGAGCAATAAGACAAAAGGAGATCAAGGGGATGCAAGTTGGAAAGGAAGAAGTCAAACTTTCACTATTTGCAGATGATATGATAGTTTATATATGTGACCCAAAAAACTGTACACGGGAACTCCTACAGCTGATAAACACCTGAAGCAAGGTGGCAGGATACAAGATTAACTAAAAAAAAATAGTAGCCCTATTATATACAGACGATAAATGGACTGAGAAAGAAATCAGAGAAACATCACCCTTTACAATAGCCACAAACAACATAAAATATCTTGGGATAATGCTAACCAAACAAGTGAAAGACCTGTACTGCAAGAACTTTGAGTCTTTAAAGAAAGAAATTAGCCAGGTGGTGGTGGTGCACACCTTTAATCCCAGCACTGGGGAGGCAGAGGAAGGCAGATCTCTGTGAATTTGAGACCAGCCTGGTCTACAGAGCGAGTTCTAGAACAGCCTCCAAAGCCACAAAGAAACCCTGTCTCAAAAAAACCCAAAAAATAAAAAAGAAAGAAAGAAAGGAATTAAAGAAGATAAAGAAGATACCAGAAAATGAAAAGATCTCCCATGCTCTTGGATAGGTAGGATCAACATAGTAAAAGTGACAATCTTGCCAAAAGCAATCTACAGATTCAATGCAATCCCCATCACAATACCTGCACAATTCTTCACAAACCTTTAAATAACAATAATCAACTTTATATGGAAAAACACAAGGCCCAGGATAGTCAAAACAATCCTGTACAATAAAGGAACCTCCAGAGGCATCACCACCCCTGACTTCAAGCAAATTATAGAGCTATAGTCCTGAAAACAGCTTGCTTGGTATTGGCACAAAAATAGGTAGATCAATGCAATCAAATTGAAAACCCTGATATTAACCCACACACCTATGAACACTTGATTTTTGACAAAGAAGCTAAAATTATACAATGGAAAAATGAAAGCATCTTCAATAAATGGTGCTGGCATAACTGGAGGCTGGCATGTAGAAGAATGCAGATAGATCCATGTCTATCACCTTGCACAAAACTTAAGTACAAATGGATCAAAGACCTCAATATAAATCCAGCCACACTGAACCTCTTAGAAGAGAAAGTGGGGGGTACCCTTGAACGAATTGGTACAAGAGACCACTTTCTGAACATAACACCAGTAGCACAGACAATGAGATCAACAATTAATAAATGGGACCTCCTGAAACCTCATGAGAAGCTTCTGTAAGGCAAAGGACATAGTCAACAAGACAAAAAGGCAGGTCACAGAATGGGAAAAGATATTCACTAACCCCACATCTATAAGTGGGCTGATCTCCAAAATTTATAAAGAACTCAAGAAGCAAGTCTCCAGAACACCAAAGGACCCAGTTAAAAAGTGGGGTACAGAACTAAATAGAAAATTCTCAATAGAGGAGTTTAAAATGGCTGAGAGACACTTAAGAAAGTGCTCAACATCCTTAGCCATTAGGAAAATGCAAATCAAAACAACTCTGAGATACCATCTCACTACTGTCAGAATGATTAAAAAAAAACCAACACCAATGACAGTTTATACTGGAGAAGATGTGGAAAAAGAGGAACACTACTCCACTGCTGGTGGGAGTGTCAACTCATATGGAAATTCCTCAGGAAAATGGGAATCAGTCTACCACAAGACCCAGCAATTCCACTCTTAGGCATATACCCAAATATACCCCAAACATGTGCATTCATACATCAAGTACTACTCAGCAGAAAAAAAACAACAGAATCTTGAAATCTGCAGGCAAATAGATGGTACTAGAAGAAACCATCCTGAGCGAGGTAACCCAGTCACAAAAAGACAAACATGGTCTATATGTACTCTCTCATATATGGATTTTGGACATGGATCAGGGGAGTGGACTGGAAGCATCAGGGGAGGGAAGAGAAAGCTGAGGAAAAGTGAGGGGGAGAAGAGAAGAGGAGAGGAGGACATGGGGGAGCAGGAAGATTGAGTCAGGGGAAGAAGAGAGGAGTCCAGGATGAGAGATACCATAATAGAGGGAGTCATCATAGGTTTGAGGAGAGATCTGGCACCAGTGAGATTTCCAGAGATTTCCAAGGATGACACCAACTAGCAATGACACCAACTAGCAATCTAAGCAATAGTGGAGAGGCTACCTTAAATGCCCTTCCCTGACAATGAGATTGATGACTACCTCGTATGCCATCCTAGAACCTTCATCCAGTGGCTGATGGAAGCAGAGGCAGACACCTAAACACTGAACTGAATTCCCTCCCTCATTAGACACTGCTGGAGAAACGGGGAGTAAGGAAAGGAAGTACATTTCCATGGAAGACAGTTACGATGTGGGAAGCAGAGAATTGGGGGTTACAGCCACAGACCCAGGACAATCAGCTGCAAATTAATTTTCCTCTTCTTCTCTCTGGATTTCTCCAGCTGTTATTTACAAGCTGTCAAATGTTATGGTTGGAGTGATTTGTACAGGATAGGTGGCAAGAGCCTATTTGATCCGCTGGTTTCTTGGCTGTTTGTAGCAGCTGCTCAGCTCCTGACCAACTTTCTCTGCCTACAGAGAAGATGGAAATGACAGTCTTCCCAGCCCATCAGGCCTGGGTTCTAATTGAAGTGGCACCCCTTCCATGATGTGCTCTGGGTTGAACTATTACATATCTCCAGGCCACAATTTCCTTGTTCTTAAAATGCAGATCATAGCAGGATGACAGATCGTATAGGTAAACGCACCTGAAGAGTTGTTACGTGGAAACATCTTAAAGGGCTCTGGGAGAACTTTTCTAGATGAAATATTTCTTAAGTAGGGCTTTATCCACACTTGAATTTCTCAGTGAAGGGTTACTTCCAAGAAGAGCAGACAAGGTAATTCCCAATAAATCTCACAGAGGGCATTCCAGGAAGCCAGGCAAATGAACAAAAATAAAAGTTTAAAGCAACAAAGTGGCCAGATATGGACTAGGCAATTGGCAAGCTTTGTGAGGGAACTTCTGCTGAGGTGAGCGTGAACCTGCCAGGGGTCAACCGGGAACTAGCTGTCCCTGCTGATCTTGCTCAGACAGAGGCTGCTTACCCAGCTGATGACTTTCTGATGTCACCAACTGAAAGTGCCCTGTGGAGAGCATAACCCCCCACCAAGGAACACACGACCATTCTGGTAAGTCTGCTCCCTTCCAGCAGATGGGAGGCCTACTGCAGTAGGCTGCCTGTCTCTTTGCTGACTGTTGTCCAATGAAGCCCTTCCCTTTTACAAAAATGTAGTCACAGCATTCAGTGCATGATAGGTGATCCTAGCCTAGCATCACGGCAATCAACAAGATTGTAGAAAATGCTGCACCAAAATCTGGAAGAGGCCTGAGTCCAGAGACAGGAACATGGCACATGGGGCCACTGGGGGTTTGGCACTGACTGAAAACAGTGGTTGAAACCCGGACCACCAAAGGTGCTGCAGAATTCTAGGATTTTGCTAAAAGAGACCCCAGCTTTGGGCTGGCTATGCGTGCCTCAGAGCTGTGTTTCAGGAGCTGGAGGTCCTGGTATAGCATCCCTAAGGTCCAGAATCCTGGTCCCCACTGATGAAGAAAACTTCAAGTCTAGAATTTGGGAACAACTAGTCCCAGACCACTACTTCTCAAGGAGCTCTACAGAAGCATAAAGAGTTCCCTTCAAGAAAGACGCAGTCCTGGCCCTCATTTGACTTCAGTTACTCTGAAGAGGTACTGCATGAGCTCATCGTCCAAGACCATCACACACAAAGAGACAGAAGACAGAGAAGAGTCAGGAGCAAGAGTTGTTAAAACCAGAACTACCATGACCCAGGTAGGAAAATGATGCCAAGAGGGCTTCGTGATTTGCATATAAAATTTAAAACTTGGAAAGCAAAAATACGATGGGGCAATTAGGGGCTGGGGATATGGCTCTGGTGGTAGAGTTGTCTACCTAGCATGCACGAAACCCTGGTTCCACTCCGGCCCTGCACCCCAGCAGAGGCGTGGTGGTACACACCAGTAATTCCAGCAGCCGGAATGCAGATGCAGGAGAACCAGAAGCCCAAAGTCTGCTGCTGCTGCTGCTGCATAGTGAGCTTGAGGCTAGCCTGGGCTACATGGGACCCTGTGTCAAAAGGAGAACCACTGGGCAGGCTGAAGGCAGGATCAGATGCAACAAAAGAGAAAAACAGTGAGATGAGGTGTTCTGAAGCGTATCTGGAAGTCATCATGACAAGGAGCGCGGCTCACACTGAATGTTAGCACAGCTTCATTAGAGTCTGTCGTGAGTTGGAGGGGAGAAGGGAAAACAGCTGGGAAAAAGGTTTGGAAGGATGCTTAAGCAGGGCAGGGGTGAGGCTGACAGGCTGAAGCAGTCTTGCAAGATGTGCAGCTCGGCTTGCCTGGTGAAGAGCAACTGTGGCTTCGGCCTCTACCTGCAACTTCACCGGAGAGCAGTGTAGCTGGGCACCCAGGCAGCGGTATGGTCGCTAACATCAACCAACGAGTCTGGTCTATGAATTTTGCATCCCTTCTTTCTTTTTTTTTAAATTCAAATTTTATGCACATTGTCTTTGGCCTGCGTGTGTGCCTGGTGTCCTCCGTGGCCGGAAGAGGACATTGGATCCCTGAAACTCGAGTACAGATGGTTGGGAGCTGTCATACGGGTGCCGAGACTTGAACGTGGGTCTTCTAGGAGAGAAGCCAGTGCTCTTAATCACTGAGCAATCTCTTTAACTCCTTGCATGTGTTTCCTAACTGGTGTTAACAAAGGTTTGTCAGGCAACACTTGAATAGCTGTGGGAAGAAAAGAAAGGGAAACATGTCTTCCACCTCCTTGGGTGTCCCTGATCCCAGGCTGCTCCTCCTTTTGGTGTTTTTGTGTTTGTTCTTTCGAGACAGGGTTTCTCTGTGCAGACAGGGTTTCTCTGTGCAGTCCTGACTGTTCTGGAACTTTCTGTAGACCAGGCTGGCCTCAAACTCACAAGATCCGCCTGCCTCTGCCTCCCAAGTGCTGGGATTCAAGGCGTGAGCCACCACAGTCTGACTCCACCCTCTCTCTTCCACCTGTGACTTTACCCACTTGCAAGAACATGATCCTCAGGCTCATCTGTAGGCTCTCATGCTCACCCACAACTTCCTCCCTTCCCTCTGGGGAAGGCTGAGAGAAGACAGCTTGGTATCCAGACAAGAGAGAATCCTGTGCATTCAAACACGGGGACCTACTCTGTCACAGTTCTGGGGTTGAGGTGACCCAGGACCTGACCCTGCCAGGGTCAGCACCCTTCCTGGCTTCTTCCGCCTTCTGATAGTGCCCTTGGCCCTCTGTCACGTTGGTGTTATCTTAGTCCCTCTATTTCCACATAGCTTTCCTGAGGGCGGGTTTCCTATTCTCATAAAGACACTAGCCATGATGGATGGGAACCAGCTCTCCCCCAATATGACTTTGGCACAACTAAGGGCACCTGCAAAGGCCACATTCCCAAACCAGGTCACATTTGCAGGTGTTAGGGGCAAGTCTTCCTCAGGCCTCTTTTCACAGGTACAGAGAGGGGCTGGACTTGACCTCCCGGGTACCAGACAGCCTTCACCTTCCTCCTGTGACAGCTCTCAGATGATGTTCCCCAAGGCTCCCTAGTTCAGCCTAGCCTCCCACAGGGCAGAACTTTACTGAGAACCAAGATTCCCACAGTTCCTCTTCCCGGGAAGTGATCAGGCGATTGCTTTACGAGGGTTCAGTCTCTATCCCACCCTTCAGTTCAGTTTCTCTCTCTTCCCACAGAGAATGTTTTCTGTCCACCGGCTTCAACCAAAATTAATGGCTTCCTGTCACTTCCACTGCTCTAATTTGTTGCTGGAGACATAAATGCCTCCTTGGTGAGGCTCACATGCTTTTCTGCAAGGAATCGGTGATTTGGTTAGCTGGCAAAGATTGAGGATCTGGTCTTTCATCACGAAGATGAAGATATCATCATGGCAAGGAGACTGGCCCTCTTTCCAAAGTGCCGGGGTCGGCACCCGTTAAAGGGAGTGTGTGGCGCCCATGCGCCTTCCACTCATACCTTCTCTTGCAAGTTCAAGCGAGCACTTGCCCATTGCAGAGGAGGTATGGACACAGGACCTCTCCAGAGCAGGTGGAGAGGGACAAGGGCCACAGTGACAATTGCAGGTGGCTCACATATGTTGCAGTAAGCACAGGCGCTGTGGTTAAGGGAAGACCAAGGGTTGACATGGATTGTCTGGAACCTCAGAAGAAGAGGGGTAAAAGAGCTTGCTGGTTGGGTAAGAGGTGGCCAAGCTAGAGAAATGAGAGGAGGGACAGGCTCTGGGATAGTGATGGTAGGCTGGCTGTCCCCCCCCCAATCCTGTCCCCACTGATGGCACAATCATCACCCACATATTCTCACTTGTAATGCAGCTAATTGCGATAGACTAAATCGTGAGGTGGCTTCTCATAGTAAGGTTCAACCTAGCAGATCGACCCAGGCCACCCTACAGATAAATATACAGAGTAGACAAGAGACTGTAGCTGCTTCATAGTGGCTGGGATAGAGTGACTCTTTGCCATGGCAAAGCTAAAAGCTGGTCATGCAAATGTGGCGACAAAGAGATCTTAGTATAATTATCAGCACCGGAGAGCCTACAGTATTGAAGATCAGTAACGGTGACAAGTGGCTGAGTTAGCGGATGTTCAATATCAGAACGGAGTCAGAGAGGGATAGAGGGGACTTCCACCACTCCCAACTGTGTGCCTCACAGAACACTGCCTGACCATTAACCTAGTGTGGTGAGGGGACATGCGTAGGGCATGTGGGCCCTCCATTGACTCAACTCATGACAACCCAGAGATTTAGCCAGTCTTAATAGCTGTTTCCTCAGCTTCCATCCAATTTTATTATAAAGCATCTAGACAAAAGGAATTCAATGACTTTTCCCTCCCAACTTTTGGGAGTCTCCCCCTTAATTCTTTACCTCAATTTTCTACGTTTCTGTAATTTTTTTTGAGACAGGGTTTCTCTGTGTAGCCTTGGCTATCCTGGAACTCACTGTGTAGACCAGGCTGGCCTCCAACTCACAGAGATCCACCTGCCTCTGTCTTCCTAGTGCTGTGATTAAAGGTGTGCGCCACCACTGCCCGGCACTTTTCTGTAAATTCTTAATGAAGTCTTTAATAATATGCTTCTGCTTCACATGCCCACATGAGTGTTCACGGCATTATTATGGTTTTTTTCTGGTATGAGACAATGAGTACAGAGACATTTTCACAGGTTAATCTTTGATGACTAAGAGATACCTGGCTTTGATTCACCCACAGCTGGGCTGTGAAAGGTCCTGCTAAACTCAGAACCACATTAGTACCAAGAGCCTCGTTTCTCAACAATGACCCAAATAAAGATCACTTATGCAAGAGACCTTCTCTGATGCTCATACTGAGGCAGGCTGCAGGTCTTGGCAAGGAGCTCAGGAGGCGATGCAGTTCAACCTCTCCATCTTTGAGTTTTCACCTAAAGGCTCCTGTGTGTATCAGATCATTTTCAGCTCTGAACCACAGTTACTTAGGTGCCCCGGGAGAGACGTTTCCTTCCAAGGGGTGTGTCGCCCTTGCAGGATGAAGCTTGGTCAGTTCTCTGGGGTGACATATCTAAATCTGAAGCTTCCTGTGCCAGGTCCCAAGGACAGGGTTTGTACTGCAGATTCCAAAGGGACATGGCCTCAAGTTCTTACTGCCCCACAGCTGGGCTGAAAGGGTCACCGTGTAGGTGTGGCACGTTTCCCCCTTAAGATGAGGCTGGGAAAGAGTATTGCTGGCTTGGGCACAGGTTTCATCCCAGAGTCACAGCACCCATTGTTTTGAAGAAGGCTTTTAATAGACATCACTGTGACTCCATGATCCTTCTACAGCTGCTGCTAAAACCTTCTAGAAGCTGTTGTTTTTACACAAGAGCAGACAGCAGAGAGGTGATGACTGCACAATATGAGGACTTCTCATCATTAGCACACCCCCAGCCCAGTCATTTAAGAAAGCCCCATGTCAGCCAAGTTAGGCCTTGCAGGGAGAAGGGCTTTGGGGTGGCTGTGTGGGGTGACCTGGAAGTGTGGTGGTGCAGTCTGGCTCCATCTAAGTGTGGGCGGGATGAAAGTTTATCAAGCTGTCCTCCAGGCCCCTTTCCAAGCCTCTGCCATGCTGTCCTGTGTGCAGCAGACCCTGATTGTGATGGCCGGATCGCTGCTGCCATGTTGTGACCCGAGGAAGGCCAAGGAGACAGCAGAGAGACCAGATGAGGGCCGCTGAGGTTGTTCCCGTGGGAGAAGGGGTATGCACGTTTGCATGGATGGTTCTGCTGCAGAATGAGGATGAAGAGGAAGCGGTAAGTCTGCTGAGGGTCAGGGAAAGACATCTCAAACTGGCCATGGCAGCGACACTTGCTGAGAGTGGAAGAGCTGAAGGTGGCATTGCACTCATCATGTCACCACCATATGGCAGTTGTCCCCTAGAGCCCACATCAAATCCTACCCCAGTCACTGCGTACTCTCCGCCAGCTGCATCTGTTCGCCGTTGCCCTTGCCACGCATCTGGGGGATACTTCGCTGGGAGTCCCACGCAGCCCCAGTAGCTTCACTGCTGTTCCTTACTGCGTATGCGTCCGCGTGCGGAACCGTGGCGTAAGAAGACAGCGAGCCTCTCTCCTCCCCTCCCCTCTCCTCTGTAACTCCCTCCACGCTATCCCAAACAGACAGGGCATCATTCAAGGCCATCGGATGCTTACAGCTGGGCTTTCAGTGACGTCAGCAGTGCTCTGTGCCCGACTGTCCACTGCTGGGGCCACCAGCCACGTGAGCTTGTTGGATTTAAATTCAGGAAGCGACACAGAGCTGGCACGCGTGTGTGAACGCCCAGGGTTGGTTTGCCAGCTTGTCATACCAAAAATCATATGGCGTTTTTATTAATTATTTGAACATTTCATGTAGTGAACTTTTGTCACACTCCTCATTCTTTCTCCTCAGTTCCTCCCAGATCCACTGTCTCCTCCCACCCCACCCCTTCATGCCCTTTCTCTCTCAGGGGAGTCCATCTCACGGCAGCTGGCCTTCCCAAATGTCCTCTGAGCCTCAGGTATAAGGGTTATGCTGTAAACGTATTAACTGGAGACAGGTAGCCCATGGTCTCTGCATTTTGGTCTATTGTAGCTTTTGGTAGTGATCTCTGTTGGCTTGTTTGATAAGGGGGTGGGAGCCACACTTACTTACGGACCTAAGGGTAAGTATTTGTGCAGAATGTCGTTAGAGACTGTTCTGGTCTAAGAAAGGCACATGGCTGCTCATTTTAACAGTGGAATTCCTTAGCAAGAGAATCCAGGGTGTGCGTCCCAGGAGCTGCCCCAGGGTGTCTCCTGCTTCACAGCAGAAGTGAGTGAATTGAACAGTTAAGAGATTGTTTCAGGGGGTGCAGGGCGGATCTCAATGCAGAGAGCTCTGCTTGAGGCCCCGGGTTCAATCTCCAGAACCCCTCCACACATGTGAGTTAGAACTGGCTTAGGATCTAGGAGGATTAATAGACCATTTCTTCTCAGCTGATATTTATAGACGCAAACCAGTATTTTCACAAATTTTCTGCATGTTTGGTATTGAACAACTTAGTCTGTACCTGTAATCCAGGCTGTGGAGATGGCGTCATGAGACCATTAGAGCCAGACACTCACAGAGCCAGTGTCTGATGGGAAAACTACACACTGGCCAATGGCAAGGCTATCTGTCAGCTCGGGAAGCAACTGCTTTCATAGTGGATTAGCGGGGTGGCAGGCAAGTTAGTCAAGATGGGGTTGCCATTAGCAATGGACACGACAGAGAGGTTTGGTGCATGGTGGATCTCTAGGTTCAGTATGATGTCTGTCACACAGCTGACGGAGTTGCCAGGAGCTGCTGTCATGGCGAGAACAGGTTCTAGCTGTGGGTATGAACTGTCCAAGGGGTGACATAGCAGATGGGCATTACAGGGGCTCCTGTGGAGGGGAAGTTGGAGAAATATGGGGAGGTGGTTACAATCAGGAAATGAGGGCATACCCACTAAGGAGTTGGAGCAGTGGAGAACACGAGTTGAGGGGCTGGAGAGAGACAGAGGGAGCAAGACATGCTGGGTGACATGAGCCACATGGCAATACATAGATTAATAGCAATTGGTTAATTTAAGTTGTAAGAGCTAATTAGTAATAAGCCTGAGCTATCAGCCAAGCATTTATAACTATTATTAAGCCTCTGTGTGTTTATTTGGTAGCTGCTGGTGGGACAGAAACTTCCACCTACAAATTCTTGCAAGTTGTTTTCTGACTTCCACATGTGCACCACAGCATGTCCATGCATACACACACACACACACACACACACACACACACTCACAAATCAATTCTCTCTAAATCAATCAATTGATCAATAAATGTACTCTGTCTTTTTAAGAAAGCTACATAGTTTGATGCAGAGAGGCAGAGGAACTTGTGAAGCCTGGTGTCCAGGATTAGCTCCAGATACCCAGTAACCTGACAAAAGAAGGCCACCCAACACCAAGGATGAGGAGAAAGAGCAAGCTGACCTTAGGTGACAAGGATGCTCATGGTGGGTGTTACCATCACCACTTACAGGAAGGAAACTGAGGCCATGGAGGTAAAGAAGGCACTGGGACAGTCAGGACATAGAAAAGTTAGCAGTCAGTAGGGCCGTGATTGACAGTTGGAGGTCTCTAAACAGCTGCTGTTCCCAAGAGCAGTAAAGAGCAAGCTTGGGACTCATCCTGTCAAACTGTCCTGCCACTTACAGCCTGGAGATGACTGGCAACACATAATACTCCATGCCTTGGCTTCCCCGGTCACAAATTAGGAACAAAACATTTTTGCAGGGCAGAGCAGAGTGACTCATGATTTTCTTCCCAGCACATGGGAGGAGGAGGCAAATGGGTCTCTGAGTTTGGGACAATTCGGGGCTACATAGTGAGATCCTGTCTTAAAAATAATCTAGTGGGGCTGGAGAGATGGCCCAGAGGTTAAGAGCACTGACTGCTCTTCCAGAGGTCCTGAGTTCAATTCCCAGCAACCACATGGTGGCTCACAACCATCTGTAATGATGCCCTCTTCTGGTCTGCAGGCATACGTGCAGAGAGAACATTGTATAAACAAATAAATAAATCTTTAAAAAATAATCTAGTAGTATTTCTTTGCACTTAAGTGACAGGCCATACACAGTTCTCTCCACAGGGTCAGGGGTTCTGGGAGTTTAGACAGTGGGTGCAAGCATTCCTTCAATCCTGGAGAGCCCTCAAGGGAGGGGAGACATTTGAGGATCCCTGCCTGACACTCAGCACCTGGGAACAACAGAGTTGTCCTGGGGTTCCTGCCCTTCACTAAGACTCACAAACTCATCTGAGAGGTTGGTCCAACAAAGCCTTTTAGCAGTAGCCATGGAGGGGACTGCTACACACAGGTACCTAGGCAGGCTCTAGTCTCGAGGAATCCAATCCACTGTTCAGATGGTCCACAGCCCCTGGCTCATTGCAGATTCTTTCGCAGATGTGTGTGTATGCACGCAGTGTGATCTCTCTCTCTCTCTCTCTCTCTCTCTCTCTCTCTCTCTCTCTCTCTCTCTCTTTGCCTGTGTGTCTTTTCTTCTGTCCTCATTAGACATAGACAGTTCCATCTTCCACTATCGATTTCCCGTTCTCTCAGACATGCCCGTGAGTGAGGACGGGCCTTCGAGAAGCAGGCCACATTCTTTCCAGCGGCAATAACTCAGCATGACTTGGGCGTAACTAAGGATCCCCCATACCCAGAGAGTGATAAAAACAGAACTGTGTGTAGCCCCACACAGAAGCTGGCTGCACATTGATTTAGCTCATGTGACTTGGCCACGGTGCCATTTACATGGACCTTGGCTTCATTGGAAGCTCCATGTGCAGGACAATGTGTCAGGTTGCCTCCTTGAATACAAAGGTTTTTCTGACAGCCATAAATGTGTGTGTGTGTGTGTGTGTGTGTGTGTGTGAGTGTGTGAATAAAAATTTTTTCCTAGAGGGGTGTATATGTGCTTGTGTGTGTAGAAGGGCATAGCTTAGATTCTCAAACACCCCAAGAGGGTGGAGGCCAGTTGTAAACAAACCCTTTGGGGAAGAGATGGAAATTCTGTGCATGACACGGGGCATGCTCACTTAGTCCCCCTCTCCAGGCATGCTCCTCTCTCACGACTCTGTCAGTGTTCACCCTGGCATCAACAGTCTCAGGAACCACCCAGGGGGACCTTGTCCTCCCGTGTGACTTAGAAAGTCGGGGCATTAAGGAGATCTTACCCTTGCAGATGCTCTTCGCACAACACAGGGTTTGCATCAAGCCCCCTGGCACCTGATGCCCTGGGCCATGGTCGCCTGTGCT